GGCAATGCGGTGGGGTTCCGCCTCAGAAACGCTATCTACTCCCTAACAATAGCAAGCACGCAAGCGTTCGAGGTGTTCTAGTACTTGAGCCGACACTGTTGTCCCTCTGCCACGTGTGTGGGACTCCTTTAGCACAAATTGTGCTACGATGGCGACCGAATATCCAGACGACCGCTTCGAATGAAAGTTTGTTAACCTTTGTCCGTTGGGCACAGTTCTGTTTTGGACTGGCCATCGTCCGATGTGGGCGGGTATGAATCCGGTGCGATATTGGCGGTGAGATACTGGAGACTTGGATAGGCTGGCCGCAAGTGGTGCATTATTGGTCGATGAAGTTGAAGTCGCATCGCATTGCTAGGACGATCACAGAGTTGTTCCGGTCCACACCGTTTTCAACATGGCTTCACTACAGTTGTGTGCTCGTTTCGAAACCTGTACAAACCAATAACCGTCAATAATATATCCCTGCTGCTGCTAAGTTTTTGCCTGTATTACTTCTGAAAACGATTGTATTCTAAATTTTGGTACAGCCCAAACGATTGTAGATGTACCAACGCCCGCGTGTCACCAGACGCATCCCACAGCTGCGACCACCGGCCGGTTTTAGACCAATCCCGCCCATCCGGCCGTTCTCTTGCCTTCTTTCTACATTTCTGTATTACTGACTAACTTGAACCAGTTGCTGCGCTTTTCGCTGGCGAGCGGACGCGATGCTGTAGACTCATTCCCCATTTCGCCCGATACAGTGCACATCGCCGCATCTCGCCGCTGTAGACCAAAATCTCACCTGTGCGATGGTTAACGCGACCAGATCCAAGTGTATGTCCATGGACGTCTCGACCCAGAGCGCTCCGGATCTCTCGACGTTGCAAGTCAAAGTGGGCGAGCTGCGCCTCTCGCCCGACGGCACGTGGCTGTACCTGCTTCAGGTCACCTGTGGCTGTGCGCGCTGGCAAGTAGCCAAGCGCTACAGCGAGATCCGCGAGCTGTGGCTCGAGCTCAGCAAGACGCTGAGTGACAACGCAGTGCAGAGCTCTTGCACCGAGCACTGCCACTTCCTCGCTGGCTTCGAACAGGACAAGTTTCCCAAGAAGCACCTGCTGCTCACACAGCACAAGCTCGAGGCGCGTGCCAGTGAGCTGGACCAATTTTTCCTCAAGATGGCTATGCGTCTCAATCTCTGCAACCCGATCCAGCTGCAAACCTGTCGTGTACGCGGTTGTGAGCTGCTCTCGCTTATCGCCAAGTTCTTTGACGTGGACGCCGAGCAGGCCAAGAACCGCTCCGCGTTGGGCTTTTCGCGCAGCATTTCGATGCAACGAGAGGTGAGACGCCACAACCAGCAATTCTCCAAGAAGCGTCGCGGCAGCATCAGTGTCAGTATGGGCGTGGGTCTCAGTCGCCGCTTCTCATTCGGTTTCCAGGACCGGCATAGCGCAGTGGCAGCTCTGGCCCAGTGAGAACACCTCGTTATTTTATTGTAGGCAAGATATTTTAGACCGCCGTCGACTATTTAGCGTAACTCATTACGCGCCTCAACTAATCGTACATCCCATATTGCTTGGATATCCTCGTCTT